TGTGTTGTTTTAGGATGTGCGTGTGTGTTGTTTTAGTGTGCGGCCAGGACAATCTCAGTATGGGATTGCCACTGATGTTTGGCGTAAGGGTGCATTAATGACAGCCTCTTCACAGCCATAGATTCTCAGTGTGTACATCGATGTCAGGTATGGGCTTTGTTAGGCTATTGTACATGTGGGTGTGCACTGTGCATCTGTGGTGTGTGTGTGTGTGAGAGAGAGAGTCTGAATTCAACTCCTCTCTTGTTAGGAAATTCCATGCTACATTATTTGGTTGTCTTGGCGATTGCATGGCTCTACTCCCAGACTGGATCCCTAGGGATAAAAATAAAGAAAAACTCCTGAATGATCAGTCATCACTTAACTCACTCAACAAGAGTGACACTTCTTCTCTCCAAAGCTGAGATTGATTGAAGAAAGTTACTACATTAAAAGTGCATATTTAAGAATATCAAAGACTTACATAAGTGAACAGAATATTTTGGCTTGGTTAAGTTAGTAAAAACCATATGGCACTAGCCTCTCTACTTTAGTGTTTTACATTTATATCTGGAATCTGATGACAAGAATAATAAGCTCCCACCAAATCTTTGTGTCTTCAAAAGCAGCTTTTCACCACTATTATGTTTATTGTTACTTTCTTTCCTCTGCTTCTAATCAACCTGTGGTATCAGTTCAGTAATGGTTACAAGAGAAAGGGGCTCCTGGATGAAGCCCAAGCTGCTGCCTGGGTGACAGCCGGGGAAGCCGTGGCATTGGGCCGAAGGTGATGCATCATGGTCATCCTTGCAGGGAGGTGGCGGTGGGGCACAAGTAAACACTCTTAAATCATCATCCTGGGACAGATGGGGGGGTGTCACATGACCCCACCCTCCCCCTCATCCCTTCTGTCTCTCCATCAACACACTATCAGCAGTCAGAGCAAAGAGACTGAGTTCAGACAGTAAATAAGTTCTGATTTGTTTGAAAGATTCTGAATTAGACAAAAGACATACATGGAGCACAATACTACAAGATCACATGGGAAGTGTGAATTTCATTCTATATGAGCCAGGATTGTGACAAAGAACCACAGAGAAGTTTTCATGGGTAACACTGTTTTGTTAAGTCATTTGTGGACTGTGGGTGGTAACAGTTATACTACAGTGACCGCATATGAACAGCAATCATAATATCAACCATAAACAGCTGTAGGTGGCCGTGTTCTGATTCAGTGTCAGCATTTCAGAGTTAAAAGCAAGGCCCTGCTTTCCAAGTCATATCAATATCAACAGAGTCCTTGTTATTTTGTTGTTAAGGAGGTTTCTCTGGATAGGAAGCATGACTTATTACAGAACACCGTACCTTTGTCAAATAAAAATCATATGAATAAATGCATGGCACTCTTAACCGCACAGGAGGGCTTTAGCATCATGTTGGTGCTCCCCCACAGAGATTTAACATCCCATATGATCTTAGGGTTTTAAGTCACTTTGTAGCTACACAGCACAACACAGATGGCAGAGCAACAGACAAATATCATTCAAGGTGAGCTCTGAAAATACAGCACATTGTGTAGTCACTTCTAAAATAAGAAAACAAAGCACAGAAAGCAGATTGTAGTGCTCTCTCAAAAAAATATGAACAAGAGAAGAGACTGAACCCCTTGATAATAAACAGTAAGTTTATGCTAAAATGAAAAATAAGCTCTCTACCCCCTCCTCCCTTATAGCCTCGTCTCTGTGCTTTCTGCTAACACACACACGCCATCCTTCTTAGCCTATATAAGCAGACAGCAGCTGAGTTGACCCCCTCCATCCTGTATAGCTGCTCCCCTTTATTAAACATGCAAAAGCTATATTTGCAGCTATAAAATATTACGTGGATATTTTTGTTGGCTTCTTAGTAACACTTAAAGTAAAAGAGGGTCTCTTTTGCACAGACAGAGTGAGCAATGTGAGCAGAAAGCTCTGCATTATAGAGAGAAAGATCTGGGCAGAGCAAGGAGCTGCTGCTTCCCATCCCCCACATTCACATAGCAAAGTTCTGCTGCTTTTGCAAGCAGTGAATGCTGCCTTCACGTTCTCTACTTGAGGCTCGTGAATACAAACTATTATGTCGCAGCATCCACATGCTTTCTGGTTGCAAATAGCCCAATTATCTACATGCTATTACAAAAGTATTTGTTTGTTTTGATGGCTGTTGTTGAATTTCTGTGCATCTAAAAGCTGCTTTACAAAAACACAAGCTGGAAACACACATCTAGTGTAAGGTTTTGTCCTTGAATTATAATAAGCAAGTGCAAGCACATTCTTGCATGTCAGGCAGCTAGATATCTATGGAAGTACATCCCTGCCATAACATTTGAGGGTGCACAAACCACATTTCAAGCACTACTCAGTTTGCAACTCAGCATTTGAGAGCATAAAAACACAAACTTGTCAGCACAGAATGAGTTTTGAGAGCATAATCCTGGCCATGCATGCCCTTGTTTCTGAGTGTGTGCTCTCAGATTTCCCCACTCGGTTTTGTATGAAAGTCTGTCAGCACCAAATGTTTTGAAAGTTTATCAGTTTGCAAGTCAGAATTTGAGAGTGCTCAGTTATGGATTTATAAGAGCAGAAACAGATTTGACAGCAAAGAGGACATAATCAAGAATGCAACAGATGATTTGAGTGAGCAGCAGGGACCCTCCTTCACTCTCAAATAGCCTATATTTATGCACTTAGAAATACTGTATGTGCCTGCACACACTCAAATGCTGAGCTGCAAAATAAAAATGCTTGCAATTTGGTTTGTGTGCTGTAACAGCCGAAATTACAAAAATGTACCTTTCTGACATAGTGTTGCTTAGATACAAATCTAGCTAAGTCATCAGATTGTTGTTTTTCTAGTTGAGCCCAGCGCATGCTACAGGACAGATGCTCATGTCTGAGCCTCTCATTCCTTGTTTTTTTACATGCGCTAATCAAGTGTGACATTTTGGTTTCATGTATGTATGACAGATTGTAGCTGACCAACTGTGTTTGATCAGGTTGATGTGCAGTAGCCTAATAAAATACAACCACTGTGGAAGCCCCCAGTACCAGTTTAGAGCACGGGTTGAGTCGCATGATTTTGTCCAAACCTTTCCTGTACCCGACAGTGTGGCGTCCGAACCCTAGCCTAAAGTTTCACCTATGTGTCTGAACCTGACCCAGACCCGAACATAGTTTCTAAATTTCTGTCTAAAGCCGGTCCGAGCCCAATGGGATGGGTCCTGTTAGGCTCGATTTGGGTAACCACACTCTATACCAGTGTGGCTGTTGAGTTTTTGGCTAACGTCGCCCTTCCTTTCTTCCCTGGCTACATGTACATTAGACACTGACCCAGACTTTTACAGTGCCCTCAAATGTTTTGGTACTTCTATAGAGAACTTTTTTTTTTTCAAATAAAACAACATAAATAATATGGTTATATATTTTACTCTCAATGCATTTCAGTCCCCTATAATTTTCTACTGTTGAAACTTGTTCTTGTGTTCAAATGTCAGTTGTGTTTATGGTACTGTTTCACTAAATTTGGCTATATGATAGCCAGTCAGCCTATTCCTTATAGTTTATATTATATTCCACTGTTGTTTGCTCAGCAACTAGGATAACCTATGGCAGGACAGTCTACACTTTCTTTTCACATTAATTAATTTTACAATGTTAGAGTTCAAAGTGCGTGATTTTGAAAATTCTGACAGGACTTTAAGGCAGCACAAAGGCTGCTGCTGCTAGGAGAGCGTGAGGCAGGCAGGCCCAGAGCACGAAGAAGGGGGGTGGGGAGAGGGAGAGAGAGGTGGAGAGTCTCTTCCTATTTTTTTGTATATGACCATTTTATGCATTCTCCATATCTCCTCTCATTCTCTTATGTATTGGCATGAAATTAGACTTTTAAGAGATAACATGTGGTGTGTTAAATTTCAGTGGCCTATAGGCTGCTGTGACTTCACCACCACTGTTTCTCTTTTTGTATCTTCACTTCCTGCTCTGTGACTGGCTCAGTCCATCCCCCATCCTTCTCTCTCTCTCTCTCTCTCTGTCACACACACACACACACACACACACACACACACACACACACACACTACACAGACACACAGGTTGTAATTTCATGCTCTCCTCTACTTTCCTCCCCTGCACTAGGTCTTCTCATTTGCTGTCGTTGACACATGGAAGCAGTCACTTCCAGCCATTAGCCCATTCTTAACAGAAGATGACATTGTAGCCTATTTGGTTCCAGTCCTTTAACAAACTAATAAGATAAACTGCACAAATGAATGTATCAAAGAGTAACACACAGCACAAGCATGAAATAATTTTTGTAATCGGAATGGTCGAATGGCTGACTTCAAGGCAGAGTGATATGCTAAAAGAAAGGGACATTTTAATTGGTTTAATACCTTAAAACTATAGGCACAATGTGTGGCATTTAGCAGTGTACACACAGGCCTTGTCCATGAAACTCTGTCCCTAATTAAAATGCATTTGAACTCAGTGTTAGGATCCTTTTGATCATTAGTAAGGTTGTGGATGTAAAACCACTGAAAATATGTTTACTTCTTAGGACAGATAGCTATTTAGCTATGGGACATTATATCAAATGCACTTAATGTGTGTCATACAAGGATCACTTGTAGACACGAGCAATGAGCTAGTGTCTTACTACATGAAATAAAGCAATTAATATTCACACACACACACACACACACACATATATAGTCAATCTAAATTTAATAGACACTTATTTTGTCTGCACACTGCAATGTTTTCATTAGCATAAGCCTTTTCCCCTGTATGCAACATTTAATTTGTCTCAAAATGACCTGTATTTTATGTTAATGAACAAGGCTTTTCTAGTACGACATTTTAATGCATAAACTCAGTTTAAAACGCATCACACCGATAATAATGGCTCTTACTGGGTATAAACAATGTTGTTATTAGACAGCGCAGTCTGGATCCAGTTTTCGTGGAGGACTCCGCTCCGGGGTTTGGTTTTCTCGCGACAGGTCGGTAAGATGGCTGTGTCTCGCGGAGCCTCGTGCTGGTTTGGTTGATTTCTAGCTCGCGCTCTCGTTCTGTAACAGAAGCCCCCCCCTCCAACATACACATACACATATACACATACACATACACACACACACACATACATATACACTTGTGTAGGTGAAATTCATTTCCCTGGCTGTGTATTTATATATTTTTTCTTTCACAAACTTTCCCCTGTCTGTTTAAACTTTAAACGGAGTCGCAGTGGATCACCGGATACCTGTCCGGGCGGAGGGCAAAGGGGGGAATGAACCGGGACAACGGGTACGTTGTTATAAATATAATTCTATGTATTTTCAATGGTTATTCGGAGTTTTATTGTGAGTGAGTCGCCGTGCTGAGATAGAGGTAGAGAAAGAGTGGGAAAGAGAGAGGAATATCATGGCCGCTCAAGTCGCCAGCGTCGGCACTCTCAACACTAGCCCGCAGAACTCAAAAAGCCGGATCGGGACCCACAGGAGGAGCCGGTACCGGGAGAGAAGCAGCATGAAAATAAGGAACCGGGACCTGACGGCGGATCTCCTGGCCATAAGGAGCTGCAGGACGGGACCGATGCTGGAAATGCTGGTGGAGCAGGGGATACTGACATGAAGAACGGCAACGGAAATTTGCCCAGAGTAAATAATAATAGCAGTAACCAGAATGATACAGGCGGGCCTGAAGGGAATAACCATCCCGGGATGGGACACCACCACACGGGCCCCTTTCCTCCACCTCCTTACGGTTACAACCAGCACTACAGCCGGGCCCCTTTTCATCAACATGGCGGACAACAAAGCCCTGGCATGGCAGCTGCATCGGGGCCAGGCATGATGGACCCTTACCCCCCTAATTCACACGAACACGGCTATCCCAACCATTATAACAACTACAGCCCCTTCCAGAACAGGACGTCATATCAGGGCCAAGGATACGGGGCCATGAATTCCCCGCGTAACAGCCAGCCTCCGGCGGCTGGGGGGCAGCCAGGCAAGCAACAGCCAGCAGGAGGAACAGCTATGGCTGCTTATAATAATCAGAGATATAACATGGGAAACCAACAACCTACGTCTACGCCAACTTTAAACCAGCTTTTGACATCCCCCAGCTCTGCCAGGAGCTACTCAAATTACCCCCAAGGAGACTATAACAATCAGGAAGGGGCCAACAAGGGACCAGGAGATATGGGCAGCAGTCAGTATGGTGGGGTCCATCCGGGTTGGCAACAAAGGACCCACCATCCACCTCCCATGAGCCCGGGAAACACTGGACAACCTCCAAACAGAAATCAGGTAAACTTTACTTACAGCACTGACACGCACTCACTGAGTTAAAGTCACTCAGCAGCTCAGAAAGAAGCACTGTAGAGTTGCATATTGCCACGAACCAGCCATTGTCTATGTAGCAAGAGCTCTAAAATGGCTGCCTCTCAATACCACCCTCTGCAATAGTGTTTAGACAGAGAAAGAAGCCTCGTAGTCTGTTAGAAACAACTTTCTGAGTCGTGGGTAACGTTGGTAGTGTGAGTCCCTGCTTGGCACAGGGCAAGAGTTTGACTAAGTAGAGCAGGAGTTTGTCAGGAGAAAGTGTGTGTGTGTGTGTGTGTGTGTGTGTGTGTGTGTGCGTGCGTGCGCGCAGAGGGAGATAAGGTGATATTTCTTCGCACTGCTTCTCCAGCCTCATTGTAGATTTCACGCTGTAACTACTGTTATTTCTAGGACAATCCGCGGCTAAATAGCTCCTATTAGGTGTTGTGCTATCAGAGTAGTGTCAGTAGCTGTCAAGGCGATAAACAACATGCAAATGACAGCGATAGCCGTTAAATAACATTTGCATAATCATTAAGAAAAACACTCCTCAGTCTGCTAAAAAGCCGTTGCACGGTGACGTGCAGATGTGTCTCACAGTCCACTGAATGGCAACAGTTACATCCGCTAAGTGTTTACTCGGATCAAAGTGTGTTTGTGACCGCGATTAATTCATCTTGACGGAGTGTTTCATTCATTGCGGCTTGGTTCGACTCCGATCGCTTGTTTCTGCGCCTCTCCTCCATGTGCCACCTTGTAAACACGGCCATTGGTGGAAGTTGGAAAAGTGCAGATTGCCTTTGCTTTGGGATTTGAATTATGGAGGTAAAATCCTGCTGTCAGAGTCAGGAGACAGTTGGTCTTAGGTTGACATGCGAGCCGAGATCTGATTGGCTCCCCATCCCTCTGCTCTTGGCCATTTATAATTGCATCTAATGGAAGGCAGGAGAAAAACAGCCCCCTCTGCCCCGATATGTGTTCCTCCACTGTGTCAAGACAGCATAGTCCCAGTCTTTTCTCTGTTTTTATTCATTTTGAACAGTATTGCATACACTTGTGTAATCTTAGAATATCTTTGGATTTTTTTTATATCTGAATTTACTCTCATATCAGCAGAAATATACACCAGTAACCATGATATTAATTTCACAATAATAACTAATTCACTGGTTGTATTTATTGAAAGCATTTAGTGAGCACCTTTGGTTCAGTTCCTCCCACTGCAGTAATTTGCATGCTGACTACTCATGTGGACCCACCTTTGTTTTTGTAGGTTTGATCAAATGTTGTGCTCACTTGTGCTGATCACATCTCTGCTGTCATTTCTAGCTCTTGACCTCAGATGTGCAGAGGAAGATTAGTTGTACTACTGTGCACCCTGGGGTGCAGCATATAGAGTAGGTGCGGTCACATCAACCCTGTTGTACAACTGTTTCCCACTTTTTCCAGATCAGGAGTTGAGGAGACTTGTGTGCCCTGATGTCTCATGGCCATGTGAGAGAGCCGGACTGGCTGCAGTTGTGTTTACAAGCAGCCAAGTGGCAGAGCTCTTTTTTTTGCATGCGTACAGTAGTCTAATTTACTTCCTTGTGCAGAAAGGAAGTAAACACATACAAAAGCTCACTTCAACCATTGTATATATTACAAAAAAGAGCGATAAGAATTGTGCATAAGATGGGGTATAGGGATCACACCAATGGAGCTTTCATACAGTCTAAATTGTT